CATGGATACTGAGGGATGGATGTTTGTGGATCTATAAAAGAGGTGCATTTCTATATATGCAGATATGTGTATATATAGATCTGCATACAGATAAATATATTTATATAACGCACCACTGATTCTTGTATTTGCTGGTGAACTTTGAGTAATACAATCACAAAAGGCTAAAAAGTACAGTACAGGGAAAACCTGCAGCAGATGTTAAAAAACAATGTTCCAAAATGAATCTAAAAAGAAGTAGAATTTGAGCTGGGCTGTAATTGATAAAGGGTAAAGGGAGAGTCCATCAAAAGAGCCCACTTGGGAAAGATTGAAATGCTTCCAAATAGGGACTGAGATCCTGGCTTAGCACTTTCCACCTTTGAAGCATAGGTTGCTTCACATTTGCATCCTATCATCACACCTGGGCAGCTGTGACCTTCCTGTTCACAGCACTCCCCACAGCTCCCTTAGTGGTGGGAGGTGAAAAGCAAGAGTGAAAGATGTGGAGGGGCTCATGGGCAGGGACTGGGGAAGCTCCCTGGCTGGAAGCCAGTCCCCCAGTGCCATGGGACAGGGCCTCACCAGCCCTCATGGAGTAAACACCCACCCTGCAGAGGAGCACTGGGCAGTGCCACCATGCTGTGCTGCCTCACCACAGGTCCAAGAGCAAATGGGATCGATTGATCATGAACTGAAACTGTGAACGCAAAACGAACGTTTCATCTTTATAAGTTGATCATTTCAGGTATTTTGTTACAGGAATGGAAAGCTGCCTAACACAGATTCCTAGATGATTAAAGTCCAGGGTAGTCTTTAATTAGAGAGGAAATATGACCTCCAATTATTTTTAAAACCAAAAAAAAAAAAAAAAAAAATCCCACTAGGCTGATTTTTTCTAGCTCCCAACAGTACACCGGACCCTCCAGGTTCCCAGACACCTAAGAAGCTCATACTATTCGGATGGTACCCACATTGGGACATTTGGAAAAGCAAGACAACTGGAAAAGCCGGGGATAGTCATCAGATCGAAACCCTACCCTGGCCACCACCCCATCTAGGCTCTTACTCTTAATGTCTGAGTTTCTGCCACAACAGGTTCCTCCTTGTTCCTTTCCTAACCTTTAGCCTCAATATCCACCCAAGGGTTTAAGTCATAAACCTGTTTGTCTTTGGTGCCTCTGTCCCTTAGTTCCTTCAGTGTGTGCTCTCTGTGGTTCCCAAATCCATGGACTTTTCCTCCATCTCCAACCCACTTCGGTATCCTGCTTGCCATCACCCCTCATCTGGTTCAGACTCTGAGGGACCCCTTTGCCTCTCCTCCCAACTCTTTGGTCCATTCCTCACACCAGCTACCATCATCTGCCTCAAGTGCTAATCTGCTTCTAACTTGAGCTTCTCCCAAGTTCCACAGCCTTTCCAGTTCCTGCTTGTCTTTCATAGCCAAATAAAACAACTAGGACATAACCGCAGGATCTCCATGCTTGTCTTTCCCTTTGGAGGTTAGCGTCTCCTCAGGGTCCGTTGTGATGTTTCACTTTCCTCTCACACAATTCTCCAAGACCTCCCTTCGTTCCCATGGGCAGAGCTTGAGGTCTCTGATAGGCCCTTTCTAAAGGGTCACAATGCCTGCAGCAGTTCAGAAATGCTTTGGGGTTGAACATGGGAAGGCATTTAGGGCACCTCCAAATAACTGCTTATGTTGAGTGTCAGCCTTGCTGTGTAGGTTGAATTATGCCCCCCACCCCAAAATATGTTGAAGCACCAGCACCCCCAACACCTAAGTTTGTGACCTTATTTGGAAGTGGAGTCTTTGCAGTTGTGATTAAATTAAGATGAGGTTGTTAAGAGGAACCCACATCCAATCTGTCTTGATGTTGGCTTTGAACTCACAATCCTCCTGCCTCAGCCTCTTGAGCTGCTGGGATTGCAGGTGTATGCCATCATGCCCAGCTCTGCTTTATTCTTATTTGACTGAATTTCAAAAGGATGTGTCCTTTTGATGTCCTTATAAAAAAAATTGAAAATTTGGATCCAGGCCCATATAGGGAAGAGAATGTCATGTGACCAGAATGGATGGAAGAAGTCATAGGAAGGCAAAGGCCAAGAATGAAATTTTTATGGGCTGGGGATGTGGCTCAAGCGGTAGCGCGCTCGCCCGGCATGTGGGCGGTCTGGGTTCGATCCTCAGCACCACATACAAACAAAGATGTTGTGTCTGCCAAAATCTAAAGAATAAATGTTAAAAAAAATTCTCTCTCTCTCTCACTCTCTCTTTTAAAAAAAAAAAAATTATGCCATAAGTCAATGAATGCCTGAGGGTCCTAGAAGCTAGAAAAGGTAAGGAGGGACTCTAGGAGCTTTGGGGGTAACGTGTCCCTACCAACACCTTGATTTCAGATGTCTGGCTTCCAAAACTATGAGACAGTAAATTTATGTTGTTGTATGCTGCTCAATTTGAGATATTTTGTTAAAGCAGCTGGCAGAAACTGATACATATCCTGAGCACTCCCCGTTCCTCCATAGGGAATGTTCCTGTTTTCCCATTGAGACCTGGCCATCCCCAGAGAACATTCTCGAAACAACTTTGTCTCCTTGTCTTTTTCTCTAGGTCTTCCTGAAGGCCTACCACTATCACTTCAAGAACATTTAAATCCCTTCATTTACTTTTCCTCTCCCCAAGGAAGTCATGTTTTACCTATTTTTTAGTACATATACTTCTTCCCTGTTCTTTGCAGTTCTGGGGATGAAACACAGGCCCTCATGCAAGCTAGGCTGATGTCTCTCACTGAGCTACATACCCAGTCCCCAGTACGTACACTTTTAACTTTCCTTTCTCATCCAGACTTAAGCCCAAAGCCTTCTCTTTTCAAAATCCAAGATCCTTACTGTTTCAAAACCGTAAGAAAAACTCTTAAGACATACTATACCCCATTTAAAAAATAGCTTTTAAAATATCACTTTATTTCCTTCCATTTGAAACTATCTTGTCACTCATCTGTTTAAAACTCTTTATCCTTTTGCCCTCAGGATAAAATCCAAACCCCTTATTCTTCATTCAACAGATAATTATGTAATTCTTAGGTTCCAGCAAAAATACTGTGTTCATTAAAAGGAACTATGATCATTTTTATCGTGCAGATTGTAGATGATGGCTGCAAAAAGTATATCAAACACACAAATACATATGTAACTACAAAACGTGGCAAGTGCTCTCAAGGAAGGGGATTGAATATTCTGGACTGATATAAGAGGAGAACCTAATTTAGATTGCATGCCTGTAATCCCAGCCACTTGAGAAGCTGAGGGAGGAGGATCACAAGTTCAAGGTCAACTCCAGCAATTTAATAAGCCCTGTCTCACAGACTCATTTTTTTCATTTTTTATAATTAACTGGGGGTTTTTGGGATGATGTTAGGGATTGAACCCAGGGCCTTGCACATGCTAGGCAAGCACTTTATCACCAAGCCACATCCTCAGCCCCTTCAAAACCATTTTTTTTTTAAATGAACTGAGGATGTAACACAGTGGTAGAGAACTTCTGGGTTCAATCCCCAGTACCGCCCCCACACCAAAAAAAAAAAAAAAAAGAGCAATGCTCCAATTAACTATCATACTTGTGTCAATTAGTGACAGGAAAAGTTTTTGAGCCATGACTGGTTATATGATTTTATTGTTATGTAAGTATCCTAGGGTTACTTGCACAAACCTAGGTGGTGGTTGTCAATCTCTAGATGTGTCCTTTTGATGCAAATAAGAGATGCCATCAACACAAGATGTTTGAGGCTGCTGCAGGTCACACAAAACACAGTTTCCCAAAGTGCAAGAGCTCTAAATGCTACTGGAAATGATTTGGGGGAAGAGGGTGCTCAGATTTAATGCATGCATGGGCTCAACCCTAAGCAACACTGAGCAGGTCGGACTTCTTCAATTCTTTCATTCTTGCAAGATGCAATTCTCAGCACAACTTTTGCCAGCAGCATTGAGCCCAAGGCAAAGACTAATGTGGCTTTAGTTATTCTCTCCAGCTAGAAATGTATAGCATTGCTTTGTTTTTGTTGCACTTATTTTTTCTTTTATGAAGACCTACTTTTATAGCAAGAGATCATGTTTTTTTTATTCACTAAAATTGTAACACATCCTTTTGAAATTCAGTCAAATAAAATGAAGCAGAGCTGGGCATGATGGCACACACCTACAATCCCAGTGGCTCAAGAGGCTGAGGCAGAAGGATTGTGAGTTCAAAGCCAGCCTCAGCAAATTAGTGAGGCTCTAAGCAACTCAGTGAGACTCTTGTCTCAAAAAATATAAAGGTCTGGGGATGTGACTCAGTGGTTAAGCGCCCCTGGCTTCAATCCCTGGTACCAAAAAAAAAAAAAAAAAAAAGTGAAACAAACATCTAAAGTAGTCAATAATAATCATACATGTGTACAGGTGATGTATCAAAAGAAAACAGAAGGTTGTTAAGAGATCAACTCAAGATACAGATTGTCTTGTTCAGATCCCTCTCTGTCTCGACCTCACAGAGGATCTCCATACAACAGGAGAACACTGCAGATGCTGTTATACAGTGCCATCCAGCCTTAGGTGCTTGCTCATATCACACCTGTTGTGTGACATTCGGCTGCCTACATGCATCCATCTTGGCCTGAATATGTGGCTCTGAAAAACTTGACACATAGTCGCTTTAGTCTTCTTGGAATCCCATGTAACAGATACCACTTCGCGGGTGGGGGGCTAGGTTTAAGCTCCTCCAGGGTTCAGGGCTCCTCTTACCCTATCTTATGTCCAGAGCCATTTGCATAAAAAAAAAATGGAAAGAAAAAAAATTTCATCCCAAGTACTTGTGGATTTATTGGTTATTGAATTGAGTCCTTTATAATCTGAAAAAAAATCAACCTGCCTGAGAATTACTTTGTGTGTGTGTATGTGTATGCATGCACATGTGTGATCAGTTATTGAATAAAATATTGTACCTTTTTCATCTTCAACCCATTATAAAACATAAAAGTACCCACAAGTTGGTAAAATATATTTTATTTGTTCATACAAAGAAATAGTATGAATTACCAGAATTTCATTTTCCTAGAAACATCTTTCTCTGTGTAAAATTAATTTGTGTTATACATAGGACAAAATACTTGATTTAATTTTTTTTTGTACATATTGGCTATTCTAACATCCAGGTTATAGAAGACATACTGCTAGAATTTGTTCAGTATTTTTTTAGATTACTGGGCTGAATGTAACTCAGTCATAAATTAATGTTACAAAACTGAAAAAAAAAATCTAACCACACCTTTAAGTTTTATTAACCATTCTTCCTGAAAAACAGAAGGGAAATGACATGGACTTCTGAATCAACATTTCAGATACTTACTAAAATCATTCTAGTTTATTAGAACCTTCCATTTTCCTTTCTTATGAGAATATCCTGCTAGGACCTGCAACTGTGTTCTCCAAAGGTCTAAAATTTAAGTCACTCAAAATGACTCCCCCAAAGAATCCCATGAAAAATATAATTTCTGCTCTTCTGTCATCCAATTAAAATTTTATTCCATAATCCTTATACCTAAAATATTTTTCCAGGTACCACCTTTTAAGTTAATAGACTACTATACACAAACGCCTCAAAGAAAACATTGGAAAGGTAGAAATAATTTTTAAAAATTTCCAATTTCTTGTTAACCTTTTTATTTATTTTTTTAGTGAGAAAAAAAAAACAAAACAAAACTGAGAGAAATAAAATACTTGGATGAATACCAGAGCTTTTTCTATAAATTGGAAGAAAACCAAACATATGCTGGGACAAATTGCCTAAACATGAAATGGTATTTTTTTCTTCTAGCAGCTAAAAAGTTAAGCTTGGTGGCCTTGCAGATGGCTAGAACAGGAAGAAACCCAAGGCTTAATTTTCCATGTTGCCTAACTTCCCTAAGAAGAAGACATGCGGGTCCTATAGTAACTATCACATGATGTGGTGTAACCTGGGGGCAGAAGCTGCATCCGGATCAGCCAGGAACTACAAGCTATCAGAGTCCTATGAAGAGATGCATATGACATTTGATTTATTTGTCTCACATAGAAAAAACTTACCCTACTCCATCAGTACTGATTATCGACATCTGTTTGGATTCAAGGACTTGACCCAGAATAGAATTTTGACCCACTTCAGTGTTCATGACTAAATGACCCTCCTATCTAAAAACTTCCTGTTGCATTCTTATTTGAAAGCAGGGGATAAACAACTTAATTAAAAATCGTCCTGTTTGGAAAGAGGGCAGGGACCCGAAGGGAAAGGAAAAGTTCATACATATTTTGGTACAGTTTTGTGGCATACCTTTCTCTGAACTTTTCTGCAATCTCCATGGTGAGTCATGTCAGACCATAAGAGTGTCCGGAAGGCCGATGGGGCAGGACTAGGTGAAGGACTTGCATACTGCCTTTAAGGTCAAGAGAGGTTATGCTGTAACTGAAAAGAAGTGTTCTCACTTTGATGTCAAATGAGCCTTCCAAACAGAAAAATGCACAACCAATTAACACCCTGACGCAGGTGTTTTTCACGCTCAAACAGCAAGAGTGGAGAATTATGCTATGATTCTGGGGTCGCCCTAAATGCAGGCTATAGTTGGGCTAAAATTCATGGACAAATACAAAGCCAGATGATCAAGATGTCACTTAAAGCCCAGGGACATCTCTGGTTGGTTTCCATACAGCTTGTCTTTTCATACAGCTTTTCTGACTTGGATCTGGCAGGTTATCCCATAAAATATACAAAGAAATCCTTTGTAAATATCAAGCCATTTTGACAATGTGAGTGTCTTCTTACATATTCCTTGATGTAAATATAACAACCGTTCCTTTGTGGTAGAAGGACTCTGGATTTAGGAAATTGAGGAGGAACTACATATGTTGTTATGTGATATTGCTATATGGTTACCCACTGGCTAGTCATAACAAAGGATCCCCCAACTACTGTGCCAACACAGAGTTATAGAGAAAGCCTTTTACACCATAGTAACAATGCCCCAACCCTTCTGCCAAGACCTGGCTAAAACAAGGGATGGCTGAACAAGTGTCAGGCTCAAGAATCCACAGGCAACTTGGAGCCAGCTTTCCCAACATGTCCTTACAAAAGACACTCTGGATTCCTGCAGTTTGGTCATTGTCTTCAGACCATGTTGTCATACTGGGATGAGCTAAGAATTCCAAAGAGATATCAAGCTCCAGTGCTAGGGATTTCTTTCCTCTGCCAGGTTGCCTATCATTTTGGAATCTTTTTGCCCTATTGAGGCTTTGACCTATGATCCAACACTGGACAGTTCTGTACCTTGCCACACCTTGGCTGACAGTGAGGGATACACTTGACCTTCATGGGTCTTGACACCCAGGCCCTGGGTTTGTGCCAGTAGCTTCAAAAGCCTATGGGATTCTTTGGTGTGTCGCACCAGAACTATCTGCCTGGAGAAAGGAGCATGGGCACTCTCATGCAGATTAGAAGAGATCATCTTTATTTTTAAAGCAGCACCCAAGCATGTCACTACATGTGACCTGGGAAAGAAGGGCTAGCATGTGCATACACTTCAAGGTGGTTAATGGACCAAGGAATGGGGCAGAAGGGGACACAGGGCCGGCCTTCAACATCGAAAGTTAAAGTAAATGGTCCCTGTCATTCAGACTCTAAAAGGATGTGATGTCCCTTTACAGCGTGGCGATTCCCCCGTGTGCTGAGTGGAGGTGGGGAGGCACCTTAGTGCGGTGTTTTGGAATCCTTGGGAATAAAACCACATCAACGAGGGAAGCCGCTAGGTGAGGTCTGACCTTCAGAATGGAGGCAACTCAGCGCTCCTAGGAGGTACACTGGGCAGGATGAGTCGCAGAAGCTGGACCGTGAAACCCAAGACACGAGGGGACAGCCATTGAAGGCTGGATACCCGTAACAACAAAAATCTCAAGTTGTGCTTTTCTTCTTTTTAAATATAATGGGGAGAGGTGGGGGAGAAACAAAATGGAAGCACCATCAATTGTGAGGACTCGAACAAAATCTCAGAGTTAAACACTTTGGAATGTTAACAGATCATGAAGCTAACTCTCTAAAAAGAGTGTGGCTAGGCAGCTTAGTGAATTAATTGCTTATGAATTAAAAATAAATTATTATAAAATAGATTTCTGTACATTTTACATACATATAATCTCTCTCTCAATATATAAGCCACATGGTTAAATGACACCGCCCGGGTCCGTTCAATCCCAGCCGAAGTCGTGGCCGGTCATCTGGTAGAACTTCAAGTTGAAGGGCCGGTAGAACTCGCGCAGCCTCTGCACCACCTCCTGGGCGATCTCGGGGTGGGTCCTGCCCTTGGTCTTGCCCAGGCAGTGGGGTTTGCTGCTGCCCTCGGCCTTCTTCAGGCAGGGGAAGCCCTTGGTCTTGTTGAAGTAGAAGTGTTTGTCGGTGATGATGCGCTTGAGGCCCAGGAAGTCCTGCACGCGGCCCAGCTCGCCGGCCGGGTCGCTGATGAGCCGCTCGCCGCTCACGAAGAGCATCTGGCCGATGGGGAAGTGGCGCAGCCAGTGCTCCAGGTGCTTGGCGTAGATGCCGATCTGGATGGCGCTCCACGACGTGTCGATGAGGCCCGTGCTCCTGTTTTTGAACGTCAAGCTCTCGAAGGTGGGGATGTCGGGCCGCTTGGAGAGCGTCTGCGTGTAGTCCGAGATGGCCCTGGTCACCGGGTCGCGCACCACCACGATGAGCTTGGTGTCCTTGGACATGGCCGAGATGCGCGCGGGCGCCTCCCGCGTGACAAAGTAGCTGGGCGTCTTCTCCATGGTGATCTGCCCGTCCAGGGTCCTGGGCATCAGGTCCCTGTGGAAAGCAAACAGAGCAATCTAGGGTCAGAAGGTGGCGCACCCCTCTTGAGCCCCACCTCTCAAGATCAATGCTTCCAATCCTGGCCATCTCTTATTAAAGGGGGTGATGGCAGAGACATAAAAATGCAAACTGCAAGCAACATTTAGAGCTAAAGGTCCATCAACGCCCCGTGGGAAGTTTGGAAGCCACATACTCTCTGCCTGAAATGGGAAGACATTCTCATGCAAAGTATGTTTTTCTCTAAGATCCCTCTAAGGGTGTCACCTGTGCCTTATTTTTCAGGGTACCCAGTTACAGATTGCCCCCAAAGAGTTGATGTCAAAACAAAAAAGCCTTGGCCTCTGGATGTGCCTTTCCTAAAAAGTAGCACCTGGGACTCAGAAATTTCCTTAGCCTTGAGTTCCCAACAAAACACATTCACCAAGCCCAGGCAAATGTTCCATTAGGTTTTTAGAAAGCAAAGTTCCCTGGATCAGGCCAGTTTGTACCCATGGCCTGGGGACAATTATCTTTGCTCTGAAAAACAGCAAAGCAACAACAATAACAAAAAAATCAGGTGAAATCAGGAAAGTATAAACTGATACAAATACCTATGAGAAAATCCCCTAGGCACAATTCTAGAAACTTCCAAAAACACTTTAAGGAAAAAAAAAAAAAAACTTGGAAGATATCGATCACAGCAAACTCAAGCAGGAAACAATACTGATACAACCTGTAAGGAACAGTACAGAGACATAGGCCATGGGATTTGGGTCATAAAGCAGTTTTGTGGCACCAAGTCACAATTACACTGATTGCACAAATCACTGGTGTCAGGCCCTGGTTATAAGACAGCAAGTCAAAAGGTACATGAATTTAGCTGATCTTATAAAATAATGGTTTGCAACATTTTTGTTGTTACAGAAATGCTGTTACGTGACTATGCAATGGTTTCTGTGAAACCGTGGATAGACTGAGTCCTGAATGTAGAATTTAGGAGTCTGTGGATGCTGTTATTCTTTTTGTAGAATGTTTTCAAGTAAATCTGGAGGAAGAGGCTCAAGGTGAGCAAGGATATGGTGGGAGAATTGGAGAAAGGAACCAGGAAACCCTGGGATGGGGAGAAGGATGACACATATCCTATGTCATAAGTTTCTGCTACACCTCAGAAGGTGGGATATGTATGTGTGTATGTGCCAGTGTGTCTCTATCAAAAGACATATTCTTACCCACAGGAGGATAGAGAGAGAGAAAGAACACTGGGTGAGATGTCCTCCTCTGACAAGAGACATCCAGATGTTTGCCTTCAAAAGCTCCATGAAGGTGGGGGCTGTATGCATACCTGGCCCATTCTCTGTTATTTCCCTACCATCTAACATGGTTCTTAGAATGACAACAGTTGTCTTCTAAATATACGCTGAAAAATGAATAGTTAAGTGATCTGGGTTATTGGAAAGTCCTATTTGGAAATATAAATGATTAAGAGTATGTCAGGGCTAGGGTTGTGGCTCAGTGGTAGAGTGCCTGCCGTGGTCAGGTGGCGCCCTGGGTTCGATCCTCAGCATCACGTAAAAACGAATAAACAACAAATAAATAAAGGTTAAATTCTTAAAAAAAAAAAGAGTACATCCTTATAAATGGGCTGGGGTTTGAATCCCTCTGTCTCCAACACTTATTAGCTGTGTGATCAGGAGACAAGTTATTTAATCTCTCTAAGCACTGGTATCCTATTATGCAAAATGGGAATAATTCTGTCTACCTCATCCAGTTGTTAAGAAAAGTAAATGAGGATTGCAGAGCTGGAGTGGTTTAGCTTTACAGTTAAAGAATGTGGGCTTGGAAGTCAGACTGTCCAGGTTCAAATCTTGGCTCTGCCACTTAAAGCTGTGTAACCTTGAATGATTAAACTTTTCTGGGCCTCTTTTCCTCACTGGTAAAGATGGAGATAACAACACCTATTGCATGGAAGTTCAATAAAATTTAAATAATAATCATAATATGCTTAAAATATATCTGACATACATTACCATGTCTGGTATCTGCTTGGTAAATATCAGATGCCAGTACTGTTATTATCATTAAGTTGCTCAATACCCTGTTTATGGAGGTGATAGAGCCAAAATTAAACATCAATGTGTGTGTGCTGATGTGTCAATATAAAAAATAAGTGTACCAAAAAAATTAAGTGCAACAATTAACTGGGCATTAAATATGGGTCACAAGCTGGGCACAGTGGTGCACACCTGCAATCCCAGTGACTCAGGATGGCTGAGGCAGGAGGATTGTGAGTTCAAAGCCAGCCTCAGCAACTTAGCAGGGCGCTAAGTAACTCAGCGAGACCTTATATCTAAATAAAATATTAAAAAGAACTGGAGATGTGGCTCAGTGTTAAACGCCCTGGGTTCAATCCCTGGTACCAAAAAAAAAAAAATTTTTTTTTTTTTTTGATCAGACTTAAAATCACCTTTTAGCTATGGGACAGAGACTTCTGATTGATTGTCACACCTGGGCCCTGGAGTGGAAAAAGAAAAAAGAACCCACACAATTTCCACATCATCTTTACCAAATATTTACCTATCAGTAGAACATTCTAAACTTCTAGCTTTAAGCCATCCTAACCCACTGAGATATAGTTTGAGCACATTTATAAAAATGATGATATAAACTATTTATCACATGGGCCAGAAAGGGAAGTTCCCTGGAGAGGGTGAGTCCCTTCTTCCAGAACACTGCCAAGAGAGAGTTCAGAGGAAGAGCACTTTGTCCTTAAGGGAGACTGTCGCCGCAGCTCTGTGGCCATGTCTGGTGGATATTAAAGCTGGATTGACCCACTTTGCCTATTAGCCACTTAGATTAATGAAGCAGTGTCATCAGGCTAATGTGATCAAGGATTAAAGAGTCCCTTCTCTCAACTTCTTTTGAATGTGTCTATAAAGCAGGTCAACCCAGATAAAGGCCAGGTTTCTTCCCTGTACTAAGCCGTCTTCAATTGGAGGGTCTATGAGAGGTTAATATTCAGAATTAAAATGTTATCCCCTTGCTTTGAAAGAAATCCAGCCCTCCAAATTCCCCAGGGCGATTGTGGAAGGATAGATCTGTCAGACCTTATGGATTCTGCAGTCTGGCCTGCAGGTGCGGCTCTTGGTACCACCATTTACTGAGGCCTGTGATCCTTGGATGGGTTACTTAGCTGGTTCATACCACAGTTTTCTCATCTGGACAATGAGACCAAGGATGGCGTCCCTCTTCTAGGGTTTTGGAGAGGACTAGAGAAGTTAACCTCGGTACCCAGCCTGGTAGATTGACAGTGCTAGGAAACTGTGGTCAATGTGTCCCGCTAACAGCATTCTGGCAAGGCTGTAAGGAAGCAAGAACTGCCCAGAGGGGACCAGTCCCTCATTGGTTCTGCCCCACAGAGGAGCCAACAGGGAGGTTTGGTTCCTCAAAGAAGCTAGGTACAGGAATATTAGAGCCTGTTCTCAGCCTGCCTTGAGTCCACGATCATCTCTGAACCTCTCTGCCTGCATTGCCGTAACATTCCTACAGAAGGATCTGGTGTAACCAAACAAAATGGTGCAACTTTTGTGAACAAGAGACCAGTATAGGACTAGTAAAAAGGAAATAGGAGATTAGCCATAAATAAGACTCCCTGAGCTGTGGGCAGATCTACTGGGCTAGCGTGCCGGCTGGTCCCCAGACTATTTGGGAGTATCACCTCTAGAGGACCCCTCTCTCCACAGTGGTCTGGAATGTGTCGACATGTGTCAGAAAATACTCAGGCAGCCTCAGGACTTGGGGGCTCTGGGGCTGCTCTCCCCTCAGTGTGCCTGGAGACCAACAAGCAGCAGTTGAGAAATAAGATACACAACTGGTTTCTCCATCACCAAATGACTCCTGTGCCCTCTCCACAGGCTTCCAAGGGCTCATCTGTAGTGGGTACTGGTATCAGATGGAGCCCAACATCTCTCCAGCACATCCCTAGGGATCCTTCTGTTAAAGAAAAAAATTACTTGATGGCACTACTTAAATCACTGACAAGGAAGATTTTATTCAGGTCCATCATGATAAGAATAAATACCACAGCAACAGAGCCCAGCAATGGAGTCCTACAACAGAACCTGGTCGTGCAAGGAGAGAAATGGGTCTCAATTTCAAATGCAGCATGGGCACTGAGTAGGAATGCAGAATCAAGGAGCAGGGTTGGGGATCAGTATACTGCAAATAACTAGGTGGAAACATCCAGGGTAAGGAGATTCTTGTTGTAGACTGGGTAACCAGACATCACCTGGGGACAGTGGAGGATAAAGAGCCAATCAGATATCGAGGGTGATCCGATGGGGGGGGGGGGTGTCGTTCTTGATAAAGGGATTTAGCAGGGTTCTTTGCTAAAACTGGATTTTACAAGGAAATGCACAGATGGGCCTAAAAGAAGGTTCAGTAGTCTGATGAAAGTTTGGTCAAGGAGAGAATCTGTGTCACACCAAGTCGGGAACACGGCATGGCCTGAGAAGCTCCTGGCACAGAGCCTTCAAGAAGTTATAAGCAGTTACCTATTTTCCTCTTGAACTGCTCTTCTCTCCCCATCCCCCACCCCACGGCCACCAGCAAACCCCAGGGCAAAGTCCTTTCCATTGCTTCCTGAGCCCACTGTCTCCTCTTCCCCTTCTCTGGTCATACTTCCTTGTCCTCCTGCTTAGTGACCTCACCAAGTTCAACGGTGGCTCAGAGGGGAAAGGATGAGGATGTGGCTGACAGATGAGATGTGGTGAAGGATGTGGTGAAGGCTCCCAGGCAGGCCTGTATGCCCATCCCACAACCCCAGCAGTTGCTTCAGCCCCAGGCTGGCCTGTGGGAAGAGCACACCATGAAGGTTAATTGAGCTGCTCATTTTTAAAAAGCCAGTTTTTCAAATGAATAGTCACAGCTAATAATTATAGAGTACTTTGGAGCTTGCAAAGAAACTTTCACATGCATTATCTGATTTAATCCTTTGCCAAAAAAAAAAACCTTTGAGG